TATATATATATATATATATATATATATATATATATATATATATATATATATATATATATATAGTGTGTGTGTATAATGTAATAATGTATTATCACTATTTGTTCCTCAGGTTTTGTCTGACTCTTCTCAGAGTGAATTTGATGACACAGAAATACTTAACCTTCAAGAAAGGGCCAGCAACCTTCTTCTCAGAGGGTAAAGAACCCAGCAAGTCGAAAAATTAAATGTAAACATCCCTTGAGTTAAACTGTTATGTTTCTAACAGTGACTTTGTTGACAGTGATGGGTCTATTCCTGTCAGCTCAGATGGCCTGGGGTGCTCAGACTTTTCATCCCCAGTTACAGTAGATGAACCAGTGCAACAACCTTCGATTCCGATCATGATCAAACCAACTGCTGGTGAGTAAATACAATAAATTGACACTTTTTTTATGTTGCTGTGAAAGACATCTAATTTTTGCAGATTTGACACTAAGTATGGTTTACATCCGACGTTATCTTAGACTCTGTTTATGTATCATCTTCCCAAAAAACTCATCCCTGCTCTGGCACCTCCAGCACGTCCAGAGGAGGACATTTTGTTCCAGTGGCGTTTAAGAAGAAAGATGGAGCAAGCCAGAGAGTTGTCCCAGTCTGCTCAGTGCACCAGTTATCAAGATGCTGCTTTTAGCTGGCAGACCCCTGCTTTATTCCAGCCTTCACCTTGCAGACAACCTTACAAGGTTGGAATCAAACTGTTATACTAGTTTTTGTTAAGTGTGTAGTGCAGATTCACTCAGGCATATCTTTTCTTCTGCTTGCATAATCTGTAGCAACAACAGAGCTCACACCCTCCACAGTTCTCACAAAGAGATGTTCACCTACGTGACACAATTCCCCAACCTGAAACCAGAGAGTCCCACAGACTCTTTGACCCGTCTCCAAGTCCTCCATTTCTGTCTGTTGTTGCCTCCGGCTCTTCAGCATCTCAAACCCAGGCTCTTGCTCATGTTCCTGCTCACATGCATTTACTCTGTGATGTCCTCCCCTGCCCCATCCAGTCATCTCATGCTAAAGAGGAGCAAAGTGTTTCAAAAAGGTTAGACCAACCTCAAACTAAAGTTGTCCATAAGAAAACCAAAGTTCCTGAAGGCTTATCTGAAATCGCCAGTGAAGAACGTATGATCTCCTCACTACATGCAACAATTGGAACTGGAGAGGCAGAAGTGCACAGTCACCAAAAAGTGCCTGAGAAGAACAGGAAGAAGAACTTGAAATCAGGAAAGAAGACTACCCTGTCCACCAGGGAGCAGAGAAAATCACCAAGGTGATGCACTGAGTTATAAATAATGTACAATAATCAAGTCTGACTTCAGACTTCAGGACTGTGAACATCTTTTATTCAAACAGGAGTTGTTCACATCAAAATCTTCCAAAAATGGCCACAATGTTGAAAGAGCAGCATCGACAGGAAGGAAGCCAGAAGATTACAAATGGAAGCTGCACCAGTGATCATGAACCACGACCTTCTCCAGTCCACACTGCGTTAGGACAGGTCTGTACATACTCCAGCTAAAAAATAATAATTCCACCACTGTTCTTTGTTCCATGCTGTTCTTTGTTACTTTCCTGTTCTTAAAATTTTTGTTCACATGGCTGGAACTGAAACACCACCTACCTGCTGGAAGTGATACATGAGCTGTGTGGTGCATATCGAATACAAACATTTTGAGCAAAGTACTTTTTTTAGAAAGCGAACATAAACATCTAATGATGGTGTTACAGCAACAGTACAGCAGGTCATCTGGAATTACCACAGTGGGTTTCCTCTCTTGTCTTCAACAGGCAGTTTCTGAAGTTTTGTTCCCTGCAGCAGCTTCATCTCCACCTCAGAGGATCTGTGTGTCCTCAGTTTCTCTTCCTCACACAACCTCTTCCTCACAACCTCCACTTCCGTCACACAACTCTCTGGAAGTCATTTCACAGCTGCTTCAAGAAGCTGAAGGTGAGTTCATAGCAGCGAATGGCTGATGATCTGGTAGTAGCTGAGTGTCATCATCAACACATACATGACATCATGCCAAATCACATGAAGGTCACACATAGCATTTTCAAGGTTTGACCAAAATGGCTACAACTTTGTCATTTCTCAACTTGAAGTGATCTTATGCTAAAACTTTAAGGAATGCTAGGCTTTTAAATTTTACTGGTTTTCTCCAACCTGGTAACCCTAAAATACAACATTTTTATTTTGTGCTTATATTTCACCCCTGCTTGTTGCTGTATTATAACAACATGGCCATGTTGTTACATTGTTATTTTGTTGTTTATTTGTCATATGCAGGTTAACACAAGGTCAACAGTGCAATGAAATGTTCAGGATGAGAAGAACTGATTTTGACTCGCTAAAAACAAAATAAATAAAAAAACAAATGAAATACTAAAGCATGCATTAAGAGTACAAAATAAAGTACCAAAAAGTGAAAAAGAAAGACATAATATTCACAAGGTCCAAAAGAAATTGTAAAGAACATGGTAGAATATAATGCTACAAGTAGGATGAATTTGTATAAATGAGTATTTCAAGGTAGTAATATAAGCTTAAATGCACATAATATATATTGCACATAACTAACATAAACTACACAGATTGTGTGGCAGGTTATTGCACAGGTAGTGAGTGACATTGAGATTAACTGAATTATAGGTAAGTAGCATGCAGAAGACATGACATACATGACATACATGATACAGCCACATATCGCAGCAGCAATATTAGTTGTCACAGATGTGGCTTGGTACAATGTTATTGTCAGTTGTTCAGTGTTATGATCGAGTTCAGTAATCTGACAGCTTTGTGGAAAATAACTGTCTTTGAGCCTTTTTTGTGCACAATGACAGACTCCTGTATCGTCTGCCTGAGGGTAGAAGAGTCCTTGTGCTGGGTGGGTGTGGTCCTTAATGATGCTGCTTTATGCAGACATTGGCTGTGGTAGATGTCCTGGATGGTGTGGAGAGTGCTACCAGTGATGTCCTCTGCTGTTTGCACCACCCTCTGTAGTGCTTTCTGACTGGTGCAGTTCCCATACCATCCTGTGATGCAGCCTGTCAGCAGGCTCTCAATGACCATTGTTATGGTCTTATGTGTTTGCTAATACCAGTTTGTTCTTCATACATGATGTCATTTTGTATCAGATTCTGATGAACAGGAGTTTGAAGATGATCCTTTACTGCAAGTTCTTCGCCAACAGAGAAAATGGGTCAAAGATCAGATCAGGTACATTAATAAATAATTCTGTAATTTCAGTCATGTGTCTACAGTTTTATATAAGGTCTGTCATTTTAATTTCCTGAATCGTGGAATTAAACTATTACAAAAATCTTTTTTTTTTTCTTTTTAGTGAAGTGAACGTGATGCTGAATGAATTTCCGGAGGAGCAACAAGTTACTTGAACATATGATTCTATGTTTCTATTCTTTTTTAAGAAATAAAGTTTATTTATGTTTGAGTTCCACATTAATAGCTTGGGGATACAACATGTTTATGTGCAATAATAAATCCAGTCACATTACAGTGCATTCACACAATTTACACTAAATAAAAAACTGTTTAAACTATCACAAAAAAGTTAAATCCTGTCATCTGGACAGATCCTTCTGCACACAGAATATTTATTTACACAGGGTAGTACATTAAAATGATATGTCAGATTGATAACAGCTGAGGAATATATACAAACCACAAAGAGTAAGGAATATTAACACAGTGTCAGGAACAAAACAAAAAAATAAATACATGTTTTGGCACACATAGTGTTTTTATGAGTGCAGAAGCCTGCTGCTAATGATGTGTGTGTTCATAAGTGTCCCTTTATTTTACTTTATGGTAAAACTGGCAGAAGCTTGAGTTAAGTCAGGGGTCTGGTGTTTTCAGTTTGCTTCATCGGAGCAGAAATGACAAGAATGCCATCTGGGGAGACAGCTGACTCCAGAGCCATGACGTCCACTCCCTTTGGGATTCGATAGCAGCGGTTAAACTGCATCGATGTAAAGCCTGGACCATCCTTCTAACAACAAAAGATTTAATGCACGCTTAGAGGACGACTCAAACTAGTTATTCTAAAAATACTGGAAAAAAGTAATATTTGTTGCATCATACAAACCTTCTGCTCTTCATGTTTTCCTTGCACTTCGACAAAATCTCCCACCACTTTAACCAGTAGGTCCTCCGGTTTGAAATGCTTCACATCAACGTGAACCATAAATCCACTGTCGTCACAGGAGACCTGCCAACGTCCAGTAAGTCAGAATGTGAAAAAGGATTTCCAAATAACTAATACCTCTGGTTTTATGAAACAATCTCGTGCACAAAACATAGATTTGAAGGTGAAGCTGGCATCCAATCTGAGTTGATGACTGGACTTTTGACATGTGGGCCACCTTTAACCAGCTCTGGTTCAAAATTTAAAAAAGTGTCAGATCTAGATTATTCAACATGAGTACAAGATTCTTTAAAATGTAGTTTGAATTTTGTAACATCTTTTCTTTGTGAAAGTTCAGTAGATTTGGCACTGAGTCTGGTCAGATCCAGTTTAAAAGCATCAAAACTTTGAAAGTTCAAAGTTGGACTGAACTGTCTCACACCAAACAAATTCAAACACCCCAACAATTTTCAGTCAGGTCATCTGGACAATTTATTTTTTGCACTGAAATGTTTCACCTTCCATCCAGAAGGCTTCATCAGTCAAGGAAACACAACACAAAACTGATTTTTCCCCCAACAGCTTACTCCAAAGTGGAATTAAACCAGTTATGTTGGTGCTTAGATGGTCTCTATGGCACGCCCCCTCCTCCAGAGTCAAATAGTTTCTGATTTGTAAAACTTATTAAACAGTTCCAACTTACAAAGTTCAAACCTGACGTAGAACATCCATAAACTAAAAAAAACTGACAGCTTTTACTCATCTTCCAAATTGGATGCCATCATCAAGCTCTTCTATATTACCGGTAAATGAAACAACCTACCTCTGCAGAGCTGCCATCGTTGCTCTCTGGCATCAGTAATGATGGGGACCAGTTATAATAACCATAAGTCCCATTTAGACGAGGGACAAGTGGTGGTAGAACCTTCTCCCAAGGGATACTGGCACTTAATACAGTTGGTGGCATGAGAAAGTCCATTTCTAATCAGCAGAGAAATGATAAAGTTTAGTAGACTGCAGCTGATCTGAGACAAGTTGCATAAGACAGCTTACCTCCTGTTTGTATTTGGTTTAAGCAGGAGCTGACGCTGCTTCTTGTCCTGAATGAGCCTGGTGGAGGAATGGTTCTCTTCTTTCTCTCGGAGTGTTTTGAGAGCCACTGGGTGTCACAGCCTCTACTTTTAAAACTGGAGTTACATAATGAGTTGGGAATTCATTCCGGGACACATTGCCTTCGTTATGTCCTAAACCTTGTCCCCTTGTGTATTCTGGCATGAGCAGAAGAGTGCAGGTTGGGGTTAGACACAGCTGTTGAGGGGCTTATGGGTGATGAACCTGTTAATGAGCTCATTCTAGAGCTTTGAAACCTGTTTTTATTTTAAAGTCCATGACACAAACTTAAACTTGTTATTAGCATATAATTACCAGAGCTGTTATTGGCTTAACGCTGTAGGTGGTTTGTTGTGGACTGTCCAAAAATAAGTTCAAAACATGGACCATGGTGAAGTGATGGAAACAGACACAATGTCAACACATGGAAGTGCACATGTGCTGCCAGAAGCACGGCGTCTTAGTCATTATAGCCCACGCCAAAAGGTGAAGATGGACGAGTACCGTATTTTTCGCTGTATAAGTTGCACCTTTTTTTATAAATTAGCATGTCCTGCGACTTGTACAGTGAGGCAACATATTTATGTTTTTTCCACTTTATTAGAAATATTTAGACTGATGTCACTTATATGGAGGTGTGATGTGTGGGGCGGTAAGTATGTTTTTTTTTTTTTTTTTGTCCATGTCTAATCATATTTCATGAAGCGTTGAATGAATCATAATGAAATTTGCATAACTAACCCTTGGATGTACCTCTACAAATAGTTTTCTATAGTGTCAACCTTATTCAAGATGGCCGCCACAACAAACTGACCTTAAAAAACAAATTAAACAATTTATAACTCAGTCAGGCTTACAACAGAGTGTTTGTAGCTGAAGCTGATTGCCAAACATTGAGATTGTTCAATATTTGTTTGGGATTTTGTCATGAATAATGTAAAGTCAACTCGTCAGTTAGCAAAATAACTAATGAACAATTGGACAACTGTATGATATAGATAAAACTGATTAACTTTTGGAGTCAACCCAATTCAAAATGGCTGCCAAAACCAACTCAGATTTGAAAACAAAAATAGCTACAACTGAGTCCAACGTAATGATATATGACTAAAATTGGTTATCGCTACAAATTTTATTTTATTTGACCTTATTATACCAGGTGAAATGCTTGGGAACCAGTTTTCATTTACAATTGAACTGTTAGCAAAATATCTTATGATTTAACGGACGAATTGTAATTAAATTTTAGAAAGTAATCATTAGTACATCTACAGATTGACTTTTGATGTAAATCTAATTCACAACATCCTGATGCATGCTCAATAATCCAGGTAGAAAAATCCAAAAAAGTTCAATCTGGTCCTCTGGACATTAAAAAAAAAAAGCAAAACAAAGCAAAAGCAAAAAAAAAAAATCTAACCCACCCACACAGACCAGTATTTGCAGTTTGACTCCCATCACCCTTTGGAGCACAAGTTAGGAGTCATCAGGACTCTGTACCACAGAGCAGACAGCATCCCCACTAGCTCGGGAGCCAGGCAGAAGGAGAAATCCTACACAAAACAGGCTCTAGAGCAATGTGGATATCCTAACTGGGCCTTCCTGAAAGCAGAGAAGAAACCCAAACAGGACTCCAGTCAGCCATCAGGTGAAAAGGAGGAACCCAGACCCAGACCAGTGGTCATTCCGTATGTTGAGGGGGTATCAGAGAAACTGAGACGTTTATTTTCTAAACATAACGTCCCAGTGGCTTTTAAACCCCAAAATACATTACGGCAAAGACTGGTTCATCCCAAAGATCCAGTCCCCCGGCACAAACAGAGTAATGTTGTGTATGCTGTTCAGTGTCAGGAGGGCTGTGATCAGTCTTACATCGGGGAAACAAAACAGCCACTGGCCAAAAGGATGGCCCAGCACAGAAGATCAACATCATCAGGCCAGGATTCTGCGGTCTACACTCATCTTCAGGCCAGCGGTCACTCTTTCAAGGATGAAAATGTTCACATCCTGGACAGAGAGGAACGATGGTTTGAGAGAGGAGTAAAGGAGGCCATCTTTGTGAAAAGAAACCGTCCATCATTAAACAGGGGTGGAGGCCTCTGGGTTCAACTGTCCCCCTCTTACAATGCTGTGATTGCTAGTATCACTCAGCCTCCTGTGAACAGTAAACAGCCATCAGTGTGCTAATGATCCATTGTTAGGCTGATGGTCCTTCTTGAGCATGTGATCAGCTGGTTTTGGTTGTCAGCAGCAAACTGGTTGATCCACTCTAAGAAGGTGCTATTTAAGAGACTGAGCTGAAAACAGCACCTCAGACTGAGCAAGTCTCTTGGATGAGAGACGAAACGTTTCTAGATTTTTTTTTTTTGCTTTTGCTTTGTTTTGCTTTTGTTTTTTTTGAATGTCCAGAGGACCAGATTGAACTTTTTTGGGCTAATTCACAACAGTCGCTACTAATTGACATTAATCGGAACTAAAATAGCTAAAAGTCAGTTTTACAATTTTTGAGCGCACATTTGATGTGGCAGTAGCTGAGAGTCATCCACAGTGCACACTCTGAGTGTGACGTCTCCGCATTCTGCACAAGACTGGGCAGAATATTCACTCCAGTTTTCATTTCTCAACACGTTCCTTGAAAAATGCTGAACTTTTAATTATAAAGAGGTAAGGGGGCTTTAACTTAACCTAACAATTTAAATGAGCTTAACCTACTTTATATACCAATAAGTTAAAATTTTAGTAACTCATATTTGTGCACGAGTTTTATGAGCTCATCTGAACTGTGAAAAGCACCGTGTGTGTTGATACTTCCTGTTCCAGTCACTCTGCAGTGAACGCAGCAGGTATGTGCACATGTTCTCCCTGTTAGCAATGCTAAACCTGTCACTTCATCTGGGACTAAAAGTGGCACTGATTATGTTCTGACTCATACAGGATGACGGGGTTATTTGGAGGGATTAAGTTATTGGGTTTCATAAAGGGCGCCACCGGTGGTCTGGACTTTATGCGACACGTAAGGAATAAGGAATGTATATGATGGCAGACATTGACTTGTGAAAAAAGTTAGAATAGTATAGAAGTAATAGTGTCACATAGGTGGTATAGTGGTTAGCAAAGCGGTTGACCTGGGTTCGATTCCCAACTAACTCACATTCTTCTGTTGTGGGGAGATGTGGCACAGAGGTTAGAAAAGGTGAGCCTCTGATCGGTAAGTCGCTGATTTGAGCCCCAGGATGGACAAGATAAAAAAAAAAAAAATGGAAATATGTATCATGTATGTCTATAACATCTCTTAATGAAACGAAGATAAGTTACTGTACATTAATATCCCTTTAGGATTAATGAAGTATTTTTGAATTGAAATGTGAAGCACCCACACCTGCATCCACCTTCATTTGTCCTACTCTGGACCCTTGAGCAAGGCCTTTAACCCCCACCATCTGCTCCCATGGGTGCCCTGGATGAGCTCTCTGCTCCACACAGAGGGCTGTGGCAGCTCAGTGGTCTGTGGTTGTGTCAGGAAGAGAATCTGGTGTAAAACAATCACCAAGTCTTTGTGCGAGTTAGTTCGCTGTGGTGACCCCTGAAGAAGGGAGCAGCCGAAAGAAGAAGAAAAAAATAGTAGTAACAGTATTTTATTCAAACCAAAATGAAATTTGGTATGCACAATTACATACCTTAACACAGAAGAGGATTAAAGCCACGATAAAATAAATACATTTTTACCTTTTCTGAGAAAGTCAGAATTTCGACTTTGAACTCAGAACTCTGAAGAAAAAATGAGAGCAGAATTCTGACGTTTGTTTTCCTCGCAGAAGTTTAATAGTAAAATCAGAATTCTGACTTTAATCTTAGAACTGACTTTGTTTTCAGAAATTAAAAAAGTTTCACTGTGGCCCTAATCTTCATTACCTTAACAATTTTAGAAGACCAAAAAAAAGACAGACTTAAATGCACATTCAGCCTCAATATCATCACATTCTATAGCAGACAAATTAATGTGCCTACTCTATTAAAGATTACACATACTTCTGGGGAAAAAGAGTTTTCAGTTACACAGCAAAGTTTTTAAGATATTAGTAATTACAAAAGGACCAACATTTTTTAACTTTAAAGTGAAATTCTTTGGTCCATGACAGTGGATCATTAGTTATGAGTAAAAGCGGTGTCTTTGAAGAACATCTCAAGGAGTGCCCAGTGGAATGGTGAACGATAAATAATCCCCCACCTCCCCCCACTGCGCTCTGAGGTTCTGAAAAATGGTTATCCACGTTGTCAGTACAGTGACCCAGAACAACAGCCCCAGCGCGGATCGCTTTACATCTGGAAATAAATAAAAATAAAATCAAAAACACAAGAGATAGTTGTCAAATAAGGACATTTTAAGCATACTGTAAAAGACAATTTCTCTAGGAAACACTTTAAATTTTTAGAGACTTTAAATAAAATCATTTAAACAGTAAGCATCAAGAAAAAAATTCCAATCATTTATTTAAAAAAAAAACAACAACTTGTACTTGCTTAGTTGTCATTCACATTTTTATATAAACATTTAATAACATATAAATGGAAATACAAAGTTTTGGTAATATTTCTTTTGCTTATAAAGTGTGTATGTACTACTCATCAGGGTCTAAAACATACAAATTAAAGTTATACAGTTATATGTTTTGTGTCGAGATTAACCTGATCTTTGATTTAATCTTCACCAGACAATTCATTTGGCAAAATCATTTTTTAAGGTGTCATGGAGGGCGATATTTCATTACTTGAAATGTTTTAAATAACTGATATTTTCATTACAGATTAAATCTAGTTTAGCACAAATAAGATAAACAGAAAAAAGTATGGGTTTGTTAAAGTTCTGTTGTTTCTTATTATTTGTTGCTCTGTGACCAGTTCAAGGTGCAAGAATGTAAAAATAATGTTTTTTAAACCACATTTTTACAATTTGAATTCAATCAACTCGTCATCCCATGTAAAATAAGAGTTTTGGAAACCTCATGTGGTTGTTTATAGAACTGAAGCCAACTGATTACTCCCTACGAAAGGGAGGCTCTTACATAAAAACTTATAAGCCTTAGGCAGCTGCTTTTGTATTTTCATGTAGACAATGTACGAGAACTGTAATAAAGTTTAACACTTACATGTTTTAATCCTCGTCTGTTCAGTGTAGGGTGGCTTGATAAAGGCCTCTCTAAAAAACCAAACAACGTTCACGAGCCACAAGAATGGAAGACAGGCAAAACCACCTGAAAACAGGGAACACTTCATTTATTGATAGAAACACTGAAATGATGCTAACCAGTTCTTCTAAATATTGCTCAAAGTATTGATCAACCCCTCTAGTCACTGATTTTTGTTTATTACACATGCGTAAAATCAGGCACCACACGTTTCATTATCATACCTATTTCCGGTTGGCTTTCAACTCTATTGTTTTGGTCCTTTACACTTACATTTTTATTGACTTTTAGATGCAAATGTATATATAAATTACTTTTATTAGTATATTACAGTGTGAATTTGATGTGCAATGTTGTTGGGTGTTATAATGACTGCAGAGCACAGCTGAAACAGAAGTAGATTTGAACACTGTTTAGACTACCGGTACGTGTATTTCAATAATACACGTTCAAGTAGGCATGAAACTATCTAGACCACAAAGCATTGCAACATACTGACATTGAGCATGCACATTTGTAACTGTAAAAAGGTCAAATGGAGGGTTAATTAGGGTTAGACTACAAAGTAAATAGTACTACAAACCTGCTTTGTCATTACTTACATATATTTATCTTTTAAAATCAGTAAAATCAATTTAAGGCCATTCCACCCTGAACAAGCCCGATCTCGTCTGATCTCGAAAGCTAAGCAGTCAGGCCTGGGGTTAGTACTTGGATGGGAAACCACCTGGGAATATCAGGTGCTGTAAGCTTAGAGGGGCCGCTGTGGTGTAGAGGTAGGGCAGCTGATTTGGGACCAGAAAGTCGTGGGTTCAACACCCTGCTATACCGACATGTCGTGGTGTCCTTAAGCAAGACATCTAATCACTAATTGCTCCTCGGCGCTTGCATAGCTGCCCACTGTTCCATCTGGGTGTAAGTCACGTGTGATGGATTAATGCAGAGAACTAATTTCGTCGTTGTATGGAAACATACAAATTATGATAACAGATAGCACTTTCTCTTTCTTTCTTATTTTCTTTCAAGTCAAGTAGTGAAAGTAAACAAAAACATTTGTTTGAAAGATTAGCCCACCTAAGTAATATTTTCTACATAGGCTGAGTTTATCCTCGTTGGGAAGTCGTTCCAGGTTCATCGTGAACTTGCAGGGATACTGCTGTAGAGAGAAACAAAAAGCTAAATAAAGAAAAAGTCATTTCCCAGACGAGGACTTTTATTCAGCCATTAAATCAGCACAGGTACCACAAATATGAAACTACAGAAAAAGATAAACAGTGCTCGTTTAAGTTCTAGATGTGACAAACCTTTAGTTGAGATCGACAGAAGCGAGGGACTTTTATGAAAAAAAATTGTAAAAAAAAAAACAACCAACTTTGGGTCACCTGACAAAGTGGATATGACCGTAAATGCTAACGATAGTTACGTTAGCTTTTATTTAGCTTAGCAATACACCGCAGAATGTTCCTGCTGCTTCGAGCTGCATGAAGCTTCCAGATCCTAAATAAAACCTTTACTGACACTTTCAAAACAAAAAAAAATACTATATATTAGTGTGATAACATACCTGTTACTTTTAGTCTGACTCTTTCACAAGAACAAAAACGCCAATCGATAAACAACTAAACACTTCCGCCTACTCCTTCTTCTCTTTTTTTCTTCACCGCATTGACTTTGGTTTTACTTGATATCGCATGCCATCCTAAAGTTTACACCGCCCTCTAGTGTTCTGGCGTAGATAGCCCCACAATAAAATGACGTTTGTTGCGGTCCTTTGAAATATTTTTATTAAATTAAAATGAGTCCTGACGATTAAATAAAAATATCATAGAGTGGTTAAATGCGTCAGTAAGCCTTTTTATAAAGCCATTTCAAAACTAAACAAATTTATTAAAATTTACAAATAAACAGGAAACAAATCAGGTAAATGAGTGTTACCTAAACGTTAAGTCAAGTCGAGTTTTCTCATTATCAGCGCGACTGATAAACTTGGCCTTAATTTTGAGGGGCAAAAGTGCTATGTTTAAGTTTTAGGGGTGACTGTTTATCATTGAAAAACTCTGAACACTGACCTTGTAACCTGTCAACTAAAGAAACTCATTTTCCCATGCACCACTGCGGCTCCCCCCTCCCAGCTCGCGCCTTCCCTCTTGTCTGTCCTCGAACTGCTAGCCGACGGTGTGTTGTTGTTGAAGCAATGATGGCGGCAGCGGGATGCGGATCAGCAACCGCAGCTGCCGTAGGAGGCCAAGGTGGAACCGCTACGGCCAGAGGTCGTTTCCCCGGTCGGCCTTGGTCATCACGCAGTCGTTTGCGTTCGGAGAAGCGATGGCAGCTCGGGCGATCAAGCTCAGAGGCTGACGATGTGACTACCGGAGGGCCAAGGCCCGCAAACCTGGGTCCTTCGTTAAACGAAGACCAGTCTCACTTGCGCCTACTTGGGATTGAGGCAAGCCACAAGATCCTTGGGCAAGCTGGTTATAGTTCTAGTGGAAGCGAAGAGGTAAGGTACCAGTCCGAGGCAAAAATCGATTATTTTATTTTTTTATTCTGCCTTTTTATGCTTTCATTAAGCGCACGATGAAGTGCTTTACACGGCAGTGTGACTAGTGCCATGGAGAAATGTCAACATCCTACTAGCTAACGTTAGCTTAACGTAGCTAACACGTTAACTTGCGTTAGCTCAGTTCAGCATTCATTTAATGAAGGGTCGTAACACAAAATGTCAAATTGAGACAGTAAAGCTGTTTTGAGTTACATTAGCACTGTGTTCTCACTTGCTTATTGGGAGAGCCTAAATGCGTAAAAGCGAAACATGGTTAACTGTTAAAAAAAATTAAGAGACAGAAAGATAAAATACTAATTTGTAAACAAGCCCCGCAATTATTTTCATGTACGGCCCACTCGTTACAGGGCCAGAAGAGCAGTTAGCCTGCTGCTAATAGCCAACACAAAGGGGGGGAAAGCTCCATACGTACTAGCCGCTAACACTTGTTTTCGTACGCCATAGTCGAGCGCTTCTCTAAAATGGGTTTAAATCTAAAGATGGACACGAAGTAGAGGTCTCCGATAACTAAACTTGCAGCTTTGAAGCCCCTGTTTGCCGTAAGAAGTGATAGACGGTTTTCGCTAGAATGTGATGGCTAACTGTTAGCTCGTGTTAGCAAACACAGCAGGTTTAAATGGTACTGCCGTGTGCCGAAGCTAGCTGCACACACCTAAAGTTTTAATCGTCCCAAGCAATCACCGGTGTCTTCTAGTCCTCACTCATGGGAGATCTGGTACAACTACGAGGATAGTCTGTTTGGAGGTTGTTGCAGCTAATCACAGAGACGCACTTCCATGTGATGTAGCTTTCGGCCAAATTTGTGAACCATTAATTCCTCTCTGAGCTTGCATGTTATGGGTGATTATTTTGTTATACATAGATCTTGATCAGCACATTAACTGATTATTAAAGCTTTTTTAGCTTGTATTAGAAAATGCAAAGAAAGACTTCTACACCCTGGAGTGCAACATGAGTATTATTGCACAATACACACTGTCAGTAAAAAAACAATTTAATACAATAAAACGTTTCTTAATTTGAAAAACTTTCCTATCCTGACAGTCTTTTAAATAAATATAGTGTTGATCGTAATACAGCAACAACAACAAAAAAGCTCAATGTTGTAACTACATTATCCATGTAACTGCACATGCAGCAGGTACGCTGCTGTAAGTGCTTTTTGTTAAGACACAATGCTTTTGCAGCTGTAGTTGGTTTGAGAATAAAATGTTGACAAATATATACTGATTGAAAATAATTTTCATGAGTTAAGTGCAGCAGCTGATGTAAATAGTAATATAGACATGGGATTGTCACATAATGTGACTTATGACAAATAAAGAAACCTTTAACACTATAGTTTACAGCACTAACACCACTGCATCACATGCAGCTGTATGTATCACATCTGGACAGACAGTTGTGCAGTGTCAAACTATGTTTTACTGTTTGGGTCTGATTTGCTTTTAAGTTAAATGGTTTGAGACAGTACCCCCGTTTTGCTTTTATTATAACTTTAAAAAAAAAGGTGTTTATATGAATATAACAAATATAATTAACATTCTTAATTTCTTAGATGCACATTCACTGTTTGATTTTCTTTGCTGATTAAATCTACGCAATGCTTTGCTTTGTTACTCCACTCCTTAGTGGGAACTTTCAGAAATAGTGTTTATGATCATCACAAAACTTTTACTCTGTCATTGCAATGCTTCTAATTATAATTTAATAACGTTTACTTGATTTTTTTTTTTCACCAGCTTTTGTTAGGTGGCTTCAAACCTTAATTACTTTCTATTTCTTTTCGAAGGGTGATGATTTCAAAGGATTTGAAGCTGAGAAAAAAGGCTCAGTGGAAACTGTGACATCACAACCAATTTCTTCCAAAGGTAAAATATAGCTGTAATTTCATTCCTTGGGATATTTAATTAAATGCACAAATAGCACTCAATTTACCTGACTTGATTCCAACACTGTATGAAAGCTACATTTTAAATACCAAAAATGTAAAATACATTAAGTGTAATATATGTTTTGTAGGTGATGCTGTCAACACAAAATCTAGACGAAAAAGTGAGAAGCCACCGCGAAAAATACCAGCGAAGGAGGAAGCTGTCCCCCCTGATCCTGTTAAAGATGTTAAAGCTGTGCAAGAAGTGCAGAGCGCGGCTTCTGAAATAAAGCCAGCAAAAACTTCAAAAGGAAAAAACACTACGGATCGACAGTCCGCTAAAAGCAAACCTTTAGCAACACCGAGGATTACAATAAAGTTAGTGGCCAAAAAGAAAGTGAAAACTATAAAAGAGCCTCAAAAGAAATCAGCAAAAATTTTGAAGGCGAAAGAAGAAGTGCAGGACCTGCCTGTTGTGAAGGACATTCAGGATGACCAGATTTTAAGTGCTCACATCAAATTAAAAGCAGAAACATTTGTGGACGAGCAGCAAGGCACTGAGGATAAAGGAGCGAAGACCATGCCTACGAGAAGACGGGGGAGGTCTTCTGTGAAGCCAGCACCACTTGTTAGCCAGACTACTGCCAAAGTTGTGGTCGATGACCAGAAATCAACAGAGAAAGAACTGACTGACACCAGAAAGGACAGTGAGTGTGTAGAGCCAAAACCGAACAAAAAGGAATTAAAGAAAAAGAAAGTGGTTGCTCCTCAGGGTTCTGCAGGTAAACAAGTGACACGTCGGAGCAACAGAGTTACTAACCCAGTCCTTAAAACAGACACAAACAGTGTACCTGAAACAGAAAATCTGAGTAAAACTACTACTGTTCTGACAGAATCTACATCACAAGTTCCAGATAAAGTTGAGGCCAAACCATTAGCTGGTAGAGAAAGACGGAGGCAAAGCAAGCGGCTAAATAAAAACGCTTCAGTGCCAGAAAATCAAGACTCAGCTTCCACAGAGCCTGATCATTTGGCTATAAAAAACAGAGACAATTTGTCTTGTAAAAGTGAGGAAATGAGGGTTCCAAGCCTAAAGTTAATAAAGATCAAAAACCCTAAATACGATCCGCATGCCAGTGCGAAGACTTCATCTCGCAAGAAAAAACGAAGAAAACATATCTGGACTTTAGCGTTGATGAATGAAGGGGGTCAGACTCTGGGTGCTGGAAATGAGGTCAAAGTACCAACGGAGGCCGTTTGCAAAGTGGATCAGCTCCCTCCCAGTGATACCAGCATCACCAAAAGTGTAAAACGACGGGGTAAAAAATCAAAACAGGAGAATATCGACGCACAGCAAAATGTGACGAGCATTGAGAAGGATCTCCAACAAAACGTTGTCTTGGAAAAATCAAATTCACTGGAGCAAGCTGAAGTAGAACCCACACCTGAGACGCCTACTCAAGAAATGCCTAAAATTGATTCTGGAAAGGTTGTACCACCCCTTCAAATCAAAAAGGTTTCCTCACCCAATAAACGTAAAAGCTCAAAGCCGTCATTTTTGATCCAGCAGGTTAGCTCTGTGCCCGAAAAGAAAGAGGATGTTTTGAAAGATCCAGTCGAAGCTCCTGAGGATAAGTCGTCTTCTTTGGATGTTGAGGCCGCGCCTACAACAAAACTAAGGAGACGGACATCAAATCTTGATTCACCACAAACAAAATCTGTCCGCCAAAAGCCAGTGACTACTCAGAAACGAAAGTTAAGAAACAGTGCACGGGAGGAAGAGGCTCCGCAGGCGCAAGTCGAGTCTTCTCAGGTTTCAACAGAAGATTCCACCTCACAAGCGCTTCCCACAAACACTTGTCACCTTTCGGCTGAGGCTCCACCACAGATGACCACTGTAAACTCCTCCGAAGTTCTCGAGAAGGACACCTCAAAGATTACGCACGATCCTGCTCAGTTGCCAGGTGCAGTTCCTGCGCAGTTGCCAGGTGAAGTTTGTCTGCAAGAGGAAGAGAAAGAAGTAAAGCCACAGCCTGAAGAGGCTAAACCCTTACCTGTGCCTTCCAGGCCTAGAAAACCTAGAAATAGTAAAGTAAGGAAAAAGAAGCGTGTTCAGAAGAAGGTGGTGGCTGTTTCTCCTGATACAACGGTAGACGCAACTCCTGTTGTTGATTCTATTGACTTAGAGCCTGTTCAAAAGGAAAATGCTCAGCCTCCAGCCATAGAAGTAAGTCAGCCAGAGGCAAAAGAAGGTGCACTGCAAGAGGATCTAACAGAGACCAAACAAGACACTGGACTAGTGGAAGAAGAGCATAAACAGCCACCAGTTAAAGAGGAACCAGATATGCAGTTAATCGATAGTCAGCCTTCAGCCGTGTTGGAAAGTCAAGCAAGTGATTTAAAAACATTAAAGGAATCTGCCAAGAAATTAAAAAAGAGACGCAAAAACTTAATTGGACAGCGTCCAAAATACAAACGCAGAGGCAGAGATGGGAAGTTTGCTCTTAAATTAGCTAAACGTCAAAGGGTCAGTGAGGTAGATGATAACAATTCGGAATCGTTGGCAGATCCTGCTTCATCTCCGAGCTCTAAACTCATTGGAATACAGAAAAAGTACAAGAAGAAACAGCCAGGTCTTCATTTTATTGAACCCACAGGGTCCAAATCATCTCAAATCATTTCTGCACTGATGGAAGTGGGACAGGAAAAGGGGAGTTTGAAGCAAGAAGCAGCGGACACCCCAGTAGACTCAGGACAAACGGATGTGAGCGCTCAGCCTGGTAAGTCAAAGTTTGTCAAAAACATCAAGCACTTCATCATGCCCGTTGTAAGTGCTAGGTCCTCGCGAGTTATTAAGACTCCGCAGAGGTTCATGGATGACGCTGGGATGTCTGTGTTACCTCGAAGAAACTCCCCGAAAAAGGGATTACAGCTGGGCTTGCCAGTTCGTCCAGTAAAGAGGCGAGACGACGACGCAGACAGAGCCATATCCCCCATCTTTTCCATGGATGAGGAAGATATACTGAGTGAAGCTCAGTTAGATGTTGATGTGTTTTCAGCTCAGGACCTGGACGACGAGCTCGATTTAGCAGAAGGTCTGTTTTCTGAGCGAAAGTCTGGCAAAAATGAACTGAAAGAGCCCCTTCTAAATAACTCGAGCTTCAAGTGGCACCTTTCAGACGACTCTAGCGAGGAGGTGTATGCATTGGACAAAATCCCAGAGAGCAAATGCGACGACCTCTTTTTATCATCTACGATGGATAAAGCTCCAGAACCACCACTGGACCTTGTTGACTCTTTGAAAAAGAAAAGTTCACCCAAGTTTAACAAGCAAGCAGCTCATCTCAAAATTTATCAAAGACTAAAGAAGCCGCACCTGGGGCTTCCAAAGAGCAGAAGCACACCAGAGGTTGAGCCTGTGAGTAAGCCGCCTCAGCCTCCCGTTGATTTAGCAGAAGGACTGGATGATGAGGTCATGAGCATAAGTCTGAGACAGCGGGACACGAGCACAGAAAAAGACAAGTCCAAGCTCAAGATCGAAGACCTTGATTCTCCTGGAGTGGTGAGAAAGGTTGCTGTGTGCGTTCGGACCTCCAACTCCAACACACTTACTTTACAACCAAGCCAAGAGGAAGATTTAGCAAGAAATGACTCTGCCCAGCTTGACTCAGGTAACAGTGTTAAAATTTAAAATGCATCAGTCGTGCAGCTGTAATAAAATGACAATAGTCGACTTGATTTACAGAGAAGCTGCAGCCAGTGCAGAAGTCGGACGAAGGCGTTCATCTTGGTTCCTTCGAAAAGGGAGTGCCACAAAGGTCACGCCTCACTGGGGCAAATAAAAGAATGTTGAATCTCCTCAGGAAAGCCAAGGTTCAACTCATTAAAATTGATCAGCAGAAGCAGCTTAAGTCCTCTGGGGTAAGATCAAAAGTTTATTCTTTTTTGACGACTTCTAGTTGTTGAGATGGATGTTTGTTATAAAATGGTCTGCTCCATCTTCTTAGTTCAAGTATATTGTCATTTGCATCACATGTGGTACATGAGTTGGAACAAAATTTTGTACTCAAGTTACACCCAAAAATAGCAAAAATATAAAGTATTAAAAAAAAGCAGTATATAAGGGTTTAACAATGAGTCTGTAGTGAGTAGATGGGTATGAATGAATACATCAGCGTCAGATAAGTCACACTTCACCAGTTAAAGTGATGCAAGTGATTTTTCCTTTTCATTGAGTAAGTGCCTATGATTGTTTCCCATGATTCTTACCTTTTTAACTGTAGTTTGGTGCATACCTGTTGTAAAAGTATGAAATGTTCTGGATGTTTTCTTGGCCTTAAAACTGACGCCTTGTTTTTGATTTTAACCTCGCAGCTGTTGTTTGGCCCAGCCGGAACCAGGTCGCACGATATCTCCTCGAAGAGACAAAGGAGGAAGCAGAGGATGCAGCTTTATCCTGATGTGCCGGTCAAGACGGAGCCACTTCAAGGACAAGTGAGTGGTCGGATCAATATGCCCCACAATGGGGGGTGGGGGCAATTGATCCGAATGGAAATCTTCTTTTCCATCTCTATTTTTAACTTATACCTGAAAAATAGATCTAGCAACGATTAATGATGATTGATTTGAATTAAAATATCCTGAAGAGGTTTCTCCTCACTCCCTTCTGCAGCCACAGCTCATCTCCCCACTTTGCCAGGAGTTCCGCAGAGCCGGGGGGCCACGGATCAAGCATGTGTGTCGTGCTGCCTCGGTGGTGCTGGGGCAGCCTCGAGCCTTGGTACCCGACGACATTCCCAGATTAAGCGCCTTGCCTCTGCATGAGAGATCTGGCATTTCCCCGTCAGCTGTCAATCAAGGTTGTTACCACAATGATTTATACATTTACCTTGATTTCTTTCATGAATGTGAGCATTAGTATATGGATGAACACAGGACTACCATTGCTTCTTCTGTTCATATCTAAACAGGTACTGTTGCAAGAACATTTAGAAAAACAAGCTTTAATGGTTTCCACAAGAACTGTGACCCAATCACTAGCTGTGGTGTCTTTGTTTTCTCATTCCTGTCGTATATGTTTGCTCTTGCAGATATTGGGTCTATGTCGGAGTCCGACAGCCCGGGACTGTCAGATCAGAAAGTAACAAAGTGTAAGAAGTCATCGAATTTTGTGAAACGGAAAGGACTGGGGCCTTTTGGGTACCGCTCTCGGAGGTGTGGAGTGTGCAAAGGCTGCAACCACGAGGACGATTGTGGCAAGTGCATCAACTGCCTCGACAAGCCCAAGTTTGGTGGTCCCAACACAAAGCGGCAGTGTTGTGTGTAAGTTAACTGGATTACTGCGTGTTGGATTGAACAGCTCAATGTTCAAAAGTAACTTGATTTTTTCTTTAACCATAAGGTATAAGAGATGTGATCAAATCGAAGAGAGGAAAGCACGCAGACTTAGTGGCAGAACCGTTCCCAAAGGTTTTTTTTTTCCATTTTATCATTCAGCCAGCTGTCATGGTGCTGTGTCTTTTTTCTTTCTAAAGTTTAGCATGCAGCTAAGGAACCGTTTTAACGGTTTTCTTCTTTTCTAAGGTTCCACGAAGCGTAGGCGGTCGTCTCTCAGCGGGGGTCATTCTAGTAACGACGAAGGGAACGACGCAGCCGGGGACTCGCCATCTGGTCTCCACACAGACTGCAACAGTCCGTCAGTGAGGAAGCAGCCGAAGCGTGTCGTAAAACCGCGAGTTTATTTTGACCTGGTGGATTACGAGTCAGACCTGGACGAGAAGACCCTCTCTAGTTCTGCCTCACCGGGGAGGAGACGGGGGGCTGGACCTCGCTTCAGTCAAGGTCATTTTTGTTTTACCATTTAGAGAAGAATCACGAGACGTTGCAAGTTATTTTAAACTCATTACATCATAAAACCTAATTTCTTCATATGCAATACAGTGGTCCCTCGTTTATCGCGGGTGTTAAGGACCACGCCCACCCACGATAAGTGAAAACTCGCAAAATGGGGACAGTAGTCCAAGTTCAGTTCAAGTTCAGTAAACTTTGTCATGACATGTGCCAGGCTGCAATCACACTCATCACCTGTTACTCTCAATCTCTCCTTAAATAAACAATTTAAATTTAAATCCTGTAACATTGTAAATAAACAATCCATGGAGTATGGATTGTTTATTTACAATGTTACAGGATTTAAATTTAAATTGAAGAGAAGCGCAGCAGGACATCAAAAGGTTAATCGCTCTGCAGCACTGAGCAGAAATGTACTTCTTGATCAATTACACTTCAACAACTGAACATAGAAGTTCTAAAATCAGTCAAAATAACTTTTAACACTTTTATATTTTGTGATTAAGATGATTTTACGATGTGACATACTTTGAATTTTAAGTTGGAAGACAAAAGTCGATCGGTCCATCTGGACAGCAAACTGTTAACCCTTCACAAAGCTGCAGCAGGAGAAATGTGTGCAGCAGAGAAGGAGATCAGCTGATCAGCTGCAGGAGGGAGCTTCCCCTGCACTTGTGGGCTGCATACACAGTGCAAAATCATTTAAAATAATTTATTTTAAATAAACAACCCATGGCTCATCCATCAGTCAGCCAATTGTGTCATGTTCAACCTTATTTTGAAAAACCGCGCTCTAGCGAATCTGCGAAGTAGCGAGGGACTACTGTATATTTTATGTTAGAGTAACAAGTTGTGTAAATAATAAAATGTTTCCCTCTTGTTCTGAAGACTTTGTGTCTCTGGATGGGTTCTTGGAAGACTTTTCAGACGATGAAGTCAGACAACGCAAATCTAGTTCTCATCGGGTATCGCAGAGTCGACGGAAACCTGAGAAGGTGGGGGGCATTTTATTTGGAGCTCACGCTTTGATTGGACTACAGAACTAACCTTTGTAACACCTTTTTCTGAAAATTCTGCAGTGTAGCTATGAAATGCTGTGATGAATACTAAACAAGATAGAAACGTTTCAAGTTTCCATTCGTCTCTCAGGTTCTTCCATCTCAGAGCTCTTTGGAGCAGACCCCTCCCAGTGTCCTCGCTGCCCTGGCTCACGGGTTCGAGCAGCGAGAAGTTGAATCTTCTAAACCAACTCACAAAATCAGGGTCGACTTCAAGGTGGGCTGTTGTTTTCTGCGTGATTTTAACAAGCTAAAATATGTTTCCTTATATTTTAAGGAGGCCAGATGAGCAGAGAATGGTTTAGTCCAATTAATTAAAAAAAAAAGTTAGTTTTTTTTTTTTTGTTTGGCTTTTTAGACATTATTCCACTCAAGTTGCACGAGGGAACACAAGCTCACACAGTGGGTTAGATTCTGTACATTTTTTGCCCAGTAGAGGTCAGTGAAGGAGTTTTTAGTGAATCTTCTCTTCTTGTAAGTGCATTGCTGACAGTTTTCACTTAAAACAAACTAGCATGGGGTTTTAGCCAAGCCGTCATCATCTTACAAATATAAGTTCATCAGTTTTATCGTTGCATAAAACTATTGGAGAAGTGATACAATCAAACATACACTCGCCTCAGGTTCTGCCTCTCGATTCATAGACTGTGCTGTTTTGTGATCAGTCTTATCTGTCTCGTCTTCAGGAGGACTGCACCTTGGAAAACGTCTGGAGTATGGGGGGTTTAAGTGTACTGACCTCTGCGCCTCTCATGCCACCCTACGTTTGCTTCCTTTGTGCCAGTAAAGGTCAACATGAGGTGACTGCTCAGAAGTTTTTACTCATTTCTTTACATTTGTAAACTCTTAGTTTGTATTGGTATGTCATTGTCTTCTGATATTGTTTTGTGAATTTCTTTGTACAGATGTTGTACTGCCAGGTGTGCTGTGAGCCCTTCCACCAGTTTTGTCTCGAACCCGCCGAGCGCCCGTCTGAGGAGAACAAAGAAAACTGGTGCTGCCGGCGCTGCAAGTTCTGTCATGTGTGCGGAAGAAAGAACAAGCTCTCTAAGGTAATGAGAGATAATCCCTCAATCTGGTTTGTTTTAGTGCCTTTGAATTCATATTACTAATGCGTCACTTTATTTTCTGCCATTGCCCCTCTCAGCCTTTACTGGAATGTGAACGCTGCCAGAACTGTTATCACGCTTCCTGTTTGGGACCAAACTATTCAAAGCAGCCCAAGAAGAGGAAGGCCTGGGTATGAGTTCAAGACAACATTAAGCCATCAATGCTTATTGCATCCATGTTTTGTTCTCCTACCAATATGCCTGTCTCTCTGCAGGTTTGTATGACGTGCATCAGGTGCAAAAGCTGTAGTGTCACACCAGGGAAGACTTGGGACACGGACTGGAACCATGACAAAGGCCTCTGTCCAGACTGTTCTAAACTCTATGACCAGGGTGAGGGGAGATTTTTTCACCTTGGCGATTAATTAGCATTTTGTTTTATTCTTTTAACTATGATGAATTGTGGAAATGTATATTTTTATCCTTTATTTTTGTTTGTTTTCAGGTAATTACTGTCCGATCTGTTTTAAATGTTATGAAGACAATGACTATGACAGCCAGATGATGCAGTGTGGCACATGTAACCACTGGGTGCATGCCAAGTGTGAGGATTTAACAGGTGATTTCCCACTTTTTTTATGGCATTACATTTTAAGTGGTTATTATTAGTGATGAAACACTTTCTGGGTTCAATTTTTAGTTTTGCTACTGAGAAAACTGCGTATAAACAGAAATAACAGCCTATTTTTTCTATAAACATTTCAGATGAGCTGTATGAGATCCTGTCTAGCCTGCCTGAGAGTGTGGTGTATTCATGTCAGCCGTGCAGTGTGACCCAGCCCAGTGCATGGAGAGAGCTGCTCTACATTGAACTCCGGGCGGGGGTGGAGAAGGTGCTAGCTTGCCTACTCTCCTCCACCCTCACCCAGCACCTTGTTACGTGCTCACAGGTAGAAAAATTACCCTACTTCTTTATGGGGGAAAATAAATAAATAACAGCTGTAATGTGGCAACTGTGTATTAATGCTGCAAATATATGGTTTTAAGAACAAGGGTGATGTACAGAGTTGCAGCAGCTACAGAGGAAATAAGTTGATGAGTCACATGAAGATCTGGGAGAGAGTTGTGGAAGCTAGACTTAGACGAGAGGTGGCTGATTTGAGCAACAGTATGTTTTTTTTTTTTTAACAAAGAAAAGGCACCACAGATGTCATCTTCACTTTGAGGATGCTGATGGAGAAGTACAGAGAAGGTCAGAAAGAACTTTATTGTGTCTTTATGGATTTAGAAAAAAAGCATGACAGTGGGCCGAGGGAGGAGCTGTGGTGTTGTGTAAGAAAATCTGGAGTGAATTCAAAAAGCGTTCAATACAAAAACAACTGGACTTTATTTGTAACAGAAGACGTTTCGCTCCTCATCCGAGGAGCTTTCTCAATTCAAAGAGCAGAGAGTGAGAGATACAGGTTATAAGGCTGAGTGAGATAAGACACACACACACATAAGACACACACATATATGTAGATTGGCAGTTCACACCTAAAAACCTAAACAGTAGGTCTTTGTTCCTCTAATTCACAGTCGAGGCCCCTCTGTTCCCATCAGGTGTGAAAACTGGCTGGGGATCTGTTTTAAAGTTGCATTATATGTTTTTGAAAGAGGGAATCTGAGGCCTCCTCCTCTGTTAAGAGACGGCTTTTCTCTTTTTACATAAATTGCTTCCTTCACCCTCCTCTCAAACCATCTGTGTTCTCGGTCCAAAATGTGCACATTTTGGTCCTCAAAAGAGTGTCCCTTATCTGTGAGGTGGAGGTGAACTGCAGAATTTTGTCCAGAGGAGGTGGCTCTCCTGTGTTGAGTCATGCGTCTGTGAAGAGGCTGTTTAGTTTCTCCAATGTAGAGGTCTGGACAGTCCTCGCTGCATTGGACCGCAGACACTACACCACTCTGTTTGTGTATGGGTGTCTTGTCCTTAGGGTGGACCAGCCTCTGTCTGAGAGTCCTGCTGGGTTTGAAATGTACTGGGATCTTGTGTTTGTTGAAGATCCTTCTGAATTTCTCTGATACTCCAGCAACATAAGGGATGACAATGTTTTTACGTCTGTTGTTCTCCTTTTTCTGTTTATTGGTGTGTTTTGTAGATTTCCTCGCTGACTTGACAAAAGCCCAGTTAGGATATCCACATGTTAGAAGAGCTTCTTGAACGTGTTTCAGTTCCTTTTCCTTCCCTTCTGTCTTTGTGGGGACGCATTCGGCCCGATGTTGTAAAGTTCTGATGACTGATAACTATGCCCGGACTTAAAAGCAGTGCTGAGATGAGCTGACAAAATTCACGTCCGATTATAGGGATAAGGACCACAACGGGCAGAATGGCTCGATCACAAAAAGACCAGTTACGATCTTGCCCACAGAGCGGGGAAGCAGGTCAGCCTCCACTTAGTGGCAAATCACCCACACCTGAGAATAACCGAGAAGAGGAGTGCCAAGTGGGGCTACACTTACCAATGGCAAATCAGCAATAGCTTCAAAGTGGAGGTGGGAGTGCATCAAGGATCAGCTCTGAGCCTCTTTTTGTTTGCTCTGGTGATGGACCGACTAACAGATGAGGTCAGGCAGGAATCCCCGTGGACTATGATGTTTGCAGATGACAATGTGATCTGTGGTAAGAACAGGGAACGGGTGGAAGAAAACTTGGAGAGGTGGAGGTATGCACTTGAAAGAAGAGGAATGAAAGTCAGCCGTAGTAAGACAGAGTACATGTGTGTGAATGAGAGGGAGACAGGTGGAACAGTGAGGCTACAAGGAGCAGAGGTCACAAAGGTGCAGGACTTCAAGCACTTGGAGTCCATTGTCCAGTTAAACTGGAGTGTGGTAAAGAGATGGAAAAGAGTGTCCAGGCAGGATGGAGTAGATAGAAAGAAGTTTCAAGAGTGATTTGTGACAAATGTGTTGCAGCAAAGATCAAAGGTAAGGTTTACAAGACGATTATGAGACCAGCTATGTTGTATGGTCTGGAGACGGTGGCATTGACAAAAAGACAATATAAGTTATGTTATAAGTTATTGTTTATTTGTCATATGCAGGTTAACACAAGGTCAACAATGCAATGAAACGGAACGGGACGGGAAAAAAACGATTCAACTAGTTAAAAACAACAAAAACAAACAAGAAATACTAAAGCATGCAGTAAGGGTACAGAACAAATAAATAAATAGAAATATAATATTTACAAGGTCCAAAAGAAATATTGTAAACAACAACATAGTAGAATATAACTATGCAAGTAGGATGAATTTGTATAAATATATATTTCACAGGCTGTCATATAGGCTTAAATGCACATGATATACTATAGAATGCACATAACTAACATGTACTACACAGGTTGTGTGACGTTATTGCACAGGTAGTGAGTAACATTGAGATAATTGAATTATGATGGTTATTTAGTGACTTACGTGATATATGGCCCAAGATACGACATACATGACATGCATACATAATACAGCCACATAGTGCAGCAACAATAAGATGTAGCTTAGTGCAATGTTATTATTGTCAGTTATTCAGTATTATTATCAAGAGTGCAGTAATGACAGCTGTGGGTAATAACTGTCTGAGTCTTGAGAAAGAACTGGAAGTGGCAGAAATGAAGATGTTGAGGTTCTTAGGAGTGACATGGATGGATAAAATTAGGAATGAGATAATCAGAGGTACAGCACAGGTTGAACAACTGGGAGATAAAGTTAGAGAGACCAGACTGAGATGGTTTGGACATGTCGAGAGGAGGGACAGTGGGTATACTGGTAGAAGGATGTTAGAAATGCAGCTGCCAGGAAAAAGACAAAGAGGAGATATATGGATGCAGTTAGAGAGGACATGGAGGTAGATGGAGTGAGGACAGAGTGAGATGGAGGAGGAGGACTCATTATGGAGACTCCTGAGGAGGGAACAGCTGAAAGAAGATGATTTGGTAGAGATGGGCAGTGATTTTTGTATAGCCAGTTTATTTTCTGTTGGTGTGTTTCCACTTGGGGTTTTTGACAGAATACCTGTCCCCCTTCCTCAAAATAAATGCCCCCAGATTTTTTTCTGTCATTTTTTTTAATAAAGTATTATAAAATGGAAACTATGGTCGTAGGTGAGCTCAGTTTTACTGTCAGAATACTTGCATCTCCCTCAGCATTGATATTCAAAGAAAAATCAATCATCAGACACATTTGACAAGTGTTTTTACTTAAATAGCTCATCTGTTTTATTTGGTTGATATTGTTCTGAAACTTGTCTACATTAATCCAGGACAAATAAAACAAACTGACTTTGGTTTCAGTGTGAAACGATGGTCGATCCTGACAGTGGACTGGAAGGGCAGCCAGCCTGTGACCTCCGAGCTGTTGGCAAGAAGTTTGACAAAGGCCTGTATACATCACTGGTAAGTGCAGAGCAATATTTTACATCATGATTTCAAACTGTTTTCTTGGTTGATGTGATTTTTTTTTTTACCAAAAAATAAAATAAATGTAATTTTATTTTTTGTATCTTTTAGAATATTAACACAAACTTTCATGGTAATTTCATTCTAGAATTTAACTGGTATTGTCACATTATTTTCGTTTTCAGTAATTCTGGTGTACAACTATTGCTTTTCTTTGGATCATAGTCGTCTTGCGTAATCCCAAAAAAGTTCACGGTCGACTGAAAAGTGCCCTTCAGCTGCAAAATAAAACAAATCATCAGCCCTCCACCTCTGTTCTTTACAGTTTGTGCTAAGCTCTGTTTTTTCTCCAAACAACTTTAAACTTTATGGCCAATCCTTTTAACATTGGTCTCATCTGTCTTTAAAAAAAAAAACAGTTTCAAACTTTTTGTGGATTGTTTAGATAGAAAGTTGCAAACCAAGGCCGTGCGCCCAGATGTTCTCCTGGAAACTTTTCTGCTTGTACAGCCTGAAACATTCCACATACCAGCTGAAGCCAGTAAATGTAGCAATTGTTTTGCGCTACATTTACAGTAGCTCAGCTGAAACCTACAGAATAATAAACTACTAGAATGCAGGCAAATCAAAGTTTTCAATCAAAAATTTCCTCTTTTGATTGAAGTGGCTACAGTTAATTCACTGACTGGTGCAGCATGTGGCGATCGTATGAGATTGGTGTTTAAATGTTTTCCATTAACTACTGGAATCAACAGTGCGTTAACACGATATTTCATGAACCGTGGAATAGATTTGAATGAAATCAAGGTTCACTGTTCTTTATTGTAATTCACATCACATGTGGTACATGAGGTGGAACGAAATTGTGTTCCCAAGGCCCCAGTTACACTCCACAATAGCAAAATATAAAGTATAAAAAAGAAACGGTATACAAGGATCTAAAATATACGCTAAACTATAATAATGTATGGTAAAATAATACAGTATATTAAACAGCAGCCTGAACATGAGTGTTGTGAGCAGATGGGCACGAGTACAGCAGCTTAAAGGTGAGAAATCAGCAGCATGGATAATCAGCAGCACAGATAAAGTGACATAACACCAATTAAAGTGGCATTACAGTGATTTTACAGTGACATCTTCAGGAAGCAATCATTGGATGTACATCTACAACCAGTTAACTTTTTTTTTTTAAATTTGGCATTATCTGTTAATATTATTTCTGTTTGTGTTATGGCAATTTTTTTCCTAAACCACTGAACAAGTTTTAATAAAACTTTCACAAAGTTATTATTGTCTGTGCGTTTATAATTGATTGCCTTTTGTCATCAAACCAATTCAAGATGTCTCTGTCAAGAGACCACAGTTGGGTTCTGTTGACAGGGCGGGGCACCCTCCTTGTGTAATGGTAGGGGGAACAACTGGCCACCCCAATTATTTGAGGAAACTACGCTTTTAATTTTGTCGTCTTACACCCCAACGTAGTATTATTGGCACGTCACCTCATACTGTCATAAATGTTTTTAGTTATTGTTTGTACATAAAAGGGAGAATTAATGTTTATGACATAAATGCTTTTTTTATAGAAAATGTTCCATGAAGATGTGGTTCAGGTGGTGCGAAAGAGACTTGAACTAGAAGAACATCTTCCCGATGAGAAAAGACCTACTGCCCTCGCACGCTCGTACTACTTAAAGGTGCAGTACAATCAAAGAGTGAAAAGGACAGAGTTTTTCCCCTCGACTTACCACTAAAGTTGCCCATTGTTCTCTTGAAAGCTGTTTGCTTTTATGCTGGCATCTGCCAGTAAAATTACAATATAAAAAAAGTTGCTATTTGAAATTAATGTGATGATTTTTTTCCTTTGTAGCTCCTTGAAGAGGTGTTTAACTGGTTCAACGGCCAGGACCCAAAGCTGTGGAACATTTCCACTAAAGGCTTGCCGTTGTGAGTAAAGTTGACCTTTTATTCATTTACATTCAGTGAACAGGCTTATGTGACGGATGCATTTATCCTAACTCCCACATGCCTGTGTTGCAGAAATAGTTGCATGTTTTCTTTTACAACATTAACATTTGTCAGCAGTTTAACATCTACTTCCTTCTTTAGGGGGATGTTGTCCCAGGCTATTCATCCTCCCACAACAGAGCATGTTTATGCCCAGTGGCAGGAGAGGAAGGCGCTCTTGTCCAGGCCTCCACTGGGTCTCCTGCAGGAAGATAATGGACAAAGCCTTGACATAAAGGAGGAAGAGGCAATGTCTCCTATGTCAGGAGATCCAGCAAACTGGAATAATTTTAAAACCAGCAGGACTCTCAAAGTCAAAGGTAATTCTGTAATTTCTAAAAAAAATAATAATTTAGCTATGGCAAATCTAGCATTCTAAAATTATATATTTTTTCTAGTAGGGTGTTTTAAGTGTTTATGATTGTCGTGTTTTATAGGGAGGAGAGGCAGACTTTCAAAAGCTGATCTAGACACTGGATGGACTACAGATGATGAACGGCAGTGCTCATTGTGCCAAAAATATGGTGACCTGAAACCTAATGTAAGAAAAGAGATAAACGTGAAACGGTGTCACTGCTGTCTGTGATTTTTCTTTTTAATAGTAACTCAAAACACTTCCTGTGTTGCTCCATAGGAGGCTGGCAGGTTACTGTACCTGGGCCAGAATGAGTGGGCACACATCAACTGCTGTCTGTGGTCCGCAGAGGTGTTTGAAGAAGACAATGGTTCTCTGCTGCACGTGCACAGCGCTGTCGCGAGGGGGCGCTTGATGGTTGGTTCAAAATACCGTATTTTCCTCCATCCGCATCGCACCGCCATATAAGTCGCATCAGTCCATATTTGTCTAATAAAGTGGAAAAATCCATAAATACGTCGCATCTATTATACGTCACATGTATTATACGTCGCATGTATTATGCATCGCTGCTGATGCGTCGCGTTACATGTCACCGCTGACAACCTGGAAATGTGGGCCGAACCCGGAAATGTGGACCGGTGTTGTGCCAAAAAACGATGGGCCACCAAATGGCGGCCGCAGGAGCGTGCACGGGAGGACTTTAACAAGAATTTAACAAGATTAACACTTAAAAACAATTATTTGTTTGCTCGAAATTATAACAAAGGTGTGTGTCAGTCTAACATTTGCTTAATAAATGCACTTTAATGGTCAAATCAGCTGCATTTCGCCGGGGTAGTGCAGCTGGATTGACGGTCGGTCCAAACAGCAAGCAAAACCAAGGTGGGGAGGCTGTGGCAGGCCGATTGAGTCATTAAAAGCTGGTAAAGATTCTCAGTCATCCAGGACATGGTGAATTCAAAAAAGTTCAGGGGGAAAAAAAACTATAAAGTTTAAAGTAAAGTATAATAAATAAAGTCCAGTTGTTTTTGTCTTGAACTTTTTTGAATTTGTCATTATAGGCCAGTTTTTCTATTACATGATACAACAGCAAGCCATACTGCTGCTACTACTCTGCTGCCAACAAGTGGCTGAAAGTGGTACTGCTCTTTTTTATTTTTCAGTCAGAATGAATGAGAACCGTCCTATCTCAGCCAAAAAAGGGTTTATAATAGGGGCCCCGATTTCCTTAATTGTAGGAAATCGGAAATCAGCCAATACTTGCATGAGAAAACGATTTTACCGATATTTTCTGTTTGTTTGTTTTAACAACAATTGTCTGAACTTCATTTATATTTCAGAGCACTACATCATGGCCAGTTAAAACAAGTTTGCATTGTTTCTAGGATATTGTTCAAGGGTATATTTTTCAACAAAATAATATTGGAAAATTGAAGGTGCATTGTGAACTTATAGCACCTGACAGTGTCGCTTATAAAACAAAATCGGTATCTGCCAAAATCGGAATCAGCAGGTCAGCCGTTTTAGAAATCGGTGATCGGACAGAAAACTTCAATCGTTGCACCCCTAGTTTATAAATATGGGGGGAAAATCCATAAATATATCGCTTCGGCCTATAAGTCACAGGGCATGTAAATTATGCAAAAAAAAACTGCGACTTATACAAAGAAAAATACGGTAGTTCTAAAAGATTTATGTTTAGTTGTTAAATGTGACTCATACACTAATATTAGGAATATAGGTTCAATTACAACCATCTACTTCATACCACACTGAATGATAAAGTCTTTGGTAACTACAAACCAGTCTGCTCTTTCTCAGGTTTGAATTCTTGTACATGATTTCGGTTCCTTCTTTACCTCGACTCATTGTTTATGTCTGTATTTCACCCCCATCCTTCCCAATCTCATCAGCGATGTGAACGCTGTAATCAGACGGGCGCCACTGTGGGATGCTGTTTGACTTCTTGTCAAAGTAACTACCACTTCATGTGCGCCCGCTCCCGGCAGTGTGTATTCCAGGATGATAAAAAAGTCTACTGCTACAAACATCGGCATCTCATCAGTGGCAGGGTACATTCTATTTCTAATTGGCTAGTGCTACAGTTTAGACATGCAGACTTGAATTGATGTGCTCTTACTGAGTGTTCTTTGTTGTGTAGATGATAACTGGTCAGGAGTTTGAAGTAAACCACAGAGTTTATGTGGATTTTGAAGGTATCAGCCTTCGCAGAAAGTTCCTGACTGGCGTGGAACCTGAACTGATCAACGTGATGATTGGTAAGATGTTTTTTCTTAACTGATGTTGCTTCCAGATTATTATTGTTGTTGTTGTACTTATATAAAATATGTGTTATTTACATTAAACCTTTTCAAGACACTATGTGCTAAGAATCAGGTACACAGAAATATTTATGCAGTGAAGACATGAACATGTGTGACTTTCTGTGAAAAGCTAAGATTCTGCTTACAGTCCTGGAAAGTGCATGTGTGATTTGAACTAAATGTTCTAATAGAGAGATGTGTCTGAACGCACATTCATATTAGGGTTTGGTATTTGGTTCCATCAAGAGGTATCTGCTCGGTGCAGCCTGAATGGAAAAACATTCTCTGGTTCCAGAGCTCTTTAGATGAGTGTCTGCAGGATAAAGAGTTTGATAACAAATGACGTGTGGCATCTGTTCAGTGTGTAATTACTGCCTCGACTGTGAAACCAACTTGGATTTTGCTTGACTGTCCAGAATGACTTAATAAAATCCTATGTGTCCAGTTTTTTGTTAAGATGAAGGAAAATAGTCATCACTTGGTGATTTGTCTCCGTCTCTGCTGTTATTCATTTATAAAAATCGGCTTAACTCATTTTTCTCTTTGTCTTGTCACAGGTTCCTTGCAGATTGAGAAGTTAGGTGTGCTGACTGAACTTTCAGCTTGCAAAGGCAAATTGTTCCCTGTGGGGTTTCAGTAAGTAGCATTTTTAAGTGTATAAAGAAATTAAATTTACAACAAGGAATGAAAGTTGTTTTTTATATGCAGTAATGAGAATATATTCATGTATCTTTGCTACAAAAAAAATTGCTGTGAAACAAATATTTTTAAAGTTAATTTTAAAAGAGCCGTATTAATATGAAAAGTTGTTATAAACTAATTTGGGTCATTAGTGATTTGTAAAAATATTAGTGCTTGGCACGTTAACGTGTTATCACATTAATGTGGTCAATGATGAACGGTGACAGTTTTTTTTAACACACTAATGCTTTTAGTTTTTTTTCTGAATTTTAAGTCTGTGGCTCAGTGGTTGTGAACATGTGTCTGTGGTTGTGAACATGTGTCTGTGG